CCGTCCTCTTTCCTTGTCGGGTTCGTGACCTGGTCGCCTGTCCATGAGACACTCGCTACCCATCCCCCTCGATCTCCCCCCAGCCAGTTTCTGCAAAACTGAGTGATGATTCTAGACATGTTAGTGCGAGTGTGAGAAAGGTCCAGATTCCGTTTGACTGACTGCCACTGAAGAGTCAGCTCAGTCTGTATTTTGTTGTTTAATTTCTTCAGTTAATTCTTCTGCCTCAATCCTTGCTCCTTCCAGAGCCAGAATGCATCTCTGCCACCACAAAGCCCACAAAATTGCATGGGTCCTGGGGACCATCTCACGCAGATGTGTACATGTCATGCATCATCTTCACACGCAGCGATCAGTAGTATCAACCATAGACAAAGGTAGAGAAGAAGAGGACCGAGTTTCACAGCTTATATTATCAGAAATATGAATACAAAGTGTTTCAAAGTTTCCCTGAGTCCAGCGYTCATCAGCGCAACCCCAATCTCTTGTCAGCTCATCAATATGACTTCCAGTGAATCAGCGCTACTCCTGCAGGTAACCTCCAAGTCATCAATGTGGTCACTACTCATCAGCGCCACCTCTGCAGCCCACATTCAACTCACGTAAGTATCTTCCATAGCCCAACGAACACTCTCAGCCTCAATCCCTTCCTCCTACAATGCATACACACCCTTCATTTATGAGGATCTATTCTGAATGCTACTCATAGCTACATACTAACCCACTACTACTAATGCTAACTTGCTGGGCAGCTATGGCTGCATCACTTCCAGCATGCAATCTTCTTCCCTCACTCAGCGCATCTGCTTCTTCCAGCGCTGTTCCTACTGACTTAGCGCACAAGTGCTCCAACACTTCCACGTTGAAACAGCCAGTGGAGATCTGGCGAGGAATGAGGCTGGCTGCCTCCTTTATACTCCTCGCTGGGTCTGCATTGGCTCAACCCAGACCCTGCATTGCATGTGTCCCAGTAGAGTCCCAATGAAGTTCAACTGCTGTTGAGGCCTCCCGGCCTGAATTTGGACTTGAAAGTCTAGATCTGGACTGACCCCTAGACTTAGACCAGGACTGGGACTGTGCCTATTGACTTTACTTTCGGACAGGCACAACTCTCAACGAACAGACACATTTACTGCTTGAACAGACACTTTACTTTGCACGAACAGGTACACTGCCTGCACGTACAGACACACTCTTACCCGAACAGACATGACATACACATCTCCTGGTGAACAGGTAAGTCTTTTGACAATGCCCTTTGCCTTAGCTTTAGATATGCCCGTTGATAGAGAACTTGACCTTTGACCTGCTTTCACGTTTCTGAGCCCTGGCGAGATACCTTTTCACAATGCTTTACTTTTACAAGGTCTGTGCTGCGTTACTTTGACAAGGCCTGAGGCCTATTTCGGGTAAAGACCCTTTTACTCTCGCCGGCTTAAATTCGAAGTCCTCTGAGAATAATTTACCTATCAAGGATATGAATTCCTCTCTTTACGCTTTCGTATGCAGACACAATATGAGGTGCAGAATTTAACAGCTCTTCTCTTGTAAACCAGCGATCTTCACTAGGATCCTGGTATGCAAACCTCACCTTATACTGTCGCTGTGGTCTGCCTCTACGTCCTATGTGGTAAGTACTTTCTGCAACAATTTTATCCACGTCATACTTCCCATCCATACTCGGAGGTATCATTGATCGGCGACTTGGGAAGAACTCATTCGTTACATAAGGTAARAGCTTGGACGCATGGAACACTGGATATGTACGTAGATGAGGAGGAATTTCAATGACATACGAAGGACCATCCACACATCCAATTACGTCTAGAACTTGCCAAGGTCCTCTGTAGGTGGGTAGAAGCTTCTGAGAGATGTTCTCTTCAAGAGCAAACTCTTTAGATTTTACCCAAACCAAATCTCCTACAGCAAATTGAGACGGGCGCCTATGTTTATTTGCCTGTTCAATCATTTGATGTTGTGCTTTAAGTATATTTTCTTTTACTTTCTCAATGTCTTTCTGATATTGGACTGCAAATTCACTAGTCCCTATAGGAAGCTTATGTACTTGATCCGGGTTCAACCAATCAATGGGTCTGCGTGGACGCCATCCCAGATGTAACTCCATAGGAGTCTTACATGTAGATAGATGTACAGAGTTATTATAGGCATTGGCAACTTTAGGTAGATGTTCATCCCAGTCAATCTGATCGGGACRGATGTACATGCGTAACGTTTGCTGCAAAATCTTATTCATCTGCTCAGTCTGGCCATTAGTCTCAGGATGTCTGCCTGATGACATAGTCAACTTAGAACCATAAACATTCATCAGTTGCTGCCATTGTTCACTCGTGAACCTGGTATCTCTATCACTCACAATAGTTAAGGGATGTCCAAAGTCTTTTACCCAATGGTTAAAGAATTCCCGAATTACCAATTCAGTCTTTGCTTCCGCAGGTAAAGCTATAAAAACAACATACTTAGTGAATTTATCCACTATGACCATTACTTGCGTTTTCCCATTCCTGCTTTTGACCTTAGTATCCATGAAATCTATAGAGACAGTCTCCAGGGCTGGTAGGGATAGGTAAGGGCTTAAGTAGCCCGAGGGGCGATTGCGTGGTGTTTTTGTTCCGTTGGCACACTTGGCAACCCTGCACATACGCGATACAGTCTGCTTTCAT